GCGCGCGCACACACACACACACACACACACACACACACACACACACACGTGAGCACACACATGTGAGCACACACATGTGAACACACTCCCACTAGTATTTGTAAATATTAGGCCGCAAAACGACTTTTTAAATATGAATTCTGCGTGTCTCTGTGTTAATGAATGGCGCAGACGCGCGGTTTTGTTTACTACTCGTACTGAAGCGCACGTGACGCTTCCGGTGATATTAGCCTCTGCCGTCTCACTGAATGAGGACATAAATACATGAACAACATCTCCAGAACTGCTCTGAGGGTCACTTCATCAGCATTTGACCGTTTCGTTTGAGTAAAACTATCCTCATATCATACACGCACAGGAATGTAAAGGTATTCACAGCAACCCGTCAAAATAAAGGTTTGGTTTAACTTGAAGACATTGCATTACTATTGTTGAGTAGAATGTACGTAATAAGCTACTACTACTACTACTAAAATGATTAAAACCTTATTTTTAAGGAATAATCATACAATATTTCTTCAATGTTTTAATTGTAATATTAATTCCCCTTTATTTTCCAAAAAATAAAATTGGTTTAATTTTCATTAATTAAAAGATAAATTAAATTAATGTTTTATGCCTTAAAAATGTAAATACACAACACAGAATTTCTGAGGGAAAAAACCATAAGGCGATTGTAAGAATAAATGAAACTTGTTTTTAAGCTTTCTAATAATTAGACATGCTAAAACACAGAATTTGGTAACAATAAAACATAAGGTTGGAAAAAATAAAATATTTTTGGGTCCTAAACACGTAATTTTTGTTAAACTTTGAATAATTTCAAAGTTTAAGTTTCATGATTTTAATTAATTAGACATGCTTTTTGATTAATACAATTTAATTTAACCATTAAAAAGGAGTCCGGAAAAATTAAAATGGAAAAAAAACGGAATACCCCCCTAAAAGCCGTAAACCTAGGGGAATATATATCTATTGTATATACACACACACACACACAAACACATATATACATGTAATATCCCTGAACATTTTCTTGTCGGTTTCAGGTTAGTCTGCAGTCATAATTGGCTTTATATTGTCTATTGTATGTCCTCATTTATATAGTTAAGTAAATGTGTTCATTCTCCGGTCGTGTGAGGCCATTGACACAGTTAAGCCTGTGTAATCTACTGCTCTGCAAACACACACACATGCCATAATCTTCTGCACACATGAGTTGAGATTGAATCGTGGGTGTGTCAGGAATCCAAACACAAATATTATCTGATCTTATTACACACACACACACACAATTTTACCCTTCAGTGACGACATGAATCAGGAACTAGAGATTCATAAAACAAATCTCACTACACAGAGAAATATGATTCAATGTCACCATAATTATTTGATTTCCATTAACGCTATGCATTTTAAAATGGTTTTACAGAACATTTCTCATTTTTTAGTTTTACTTGAAGATTTGAAAGAAAATCACTAAAACTTAAACAAATAAATAAAATAAAAATAATAAAAAAATATAAACCTATTAAAAAAAACGAATAAAAAAACAATTATTCAAACTTAAACCTAAATTATGAGAACTATGAAAAGAGGAAAAGTAAAACTAAAATCAAATCAATAAAATAACACTGCTCAACTTAAAAAGTATTGTTTAAATGACAAAGAGCAAAAACATTTAATTAATAAAAAAAAAAAAAAAAAAAGATGAAGCAACATTGAACAAAAAGGAAATTGTGGACCACCTCAGCATTAACGCAGGTTTAACATGCAGTGAAACACAAACACTTTGTATCGAGTTTGTTGTAGAACTATTGCCAGCTTTCATGGCTTTATTCATGGCTAGAAACAAGTGAAAACACAGAAAAAGTAATGAATAAATAGCAAAATGATATATGAACAGCAAAACAATAACAAATATTATAAAAGGTTTATACATTTATCTTTGATTTAAAAAATCTAAGGGACTCTGGCCTCACTTCATTAAAAATCTTTTCATAAGAACAAAACGAGAAATCTTTCTATTGAGTAAAACTGTAAACATATAAGAAAAAGTACATAAAGGAAACTTCTGAATAAAAACATTGCTTAATATCATTTAAAGCAGGTTTTTACATTAATTACCTGCTTGTGCTGGCGTTATGGTCCAAAACTTCAACCCCAAACTTCACGTCAGATACTCTGAACTGTTCGCACATCACAAGCGTGCTAGTTTCTGTATTCTGGCCTCTCGAACACACATACCCCAGGTCACGCGAACCATGAATAACACACACACACACACACACACACACACACACACACACACACACACACCTATC